GTTAACCTAGACTACTATATCAACATTAATGACAAGCCACATAATACTCAATTAATACACTTCAATTAATACACTTCTATTGTCTTTGTGATATTCATCTAGGTTTGCTACTACCTGATATATTTATGTGCTAGTATGATATGTTATATGTGATAGTGGTAGTAGGGGGAGAATAGTCCCCAAGTTCGGGCGTTAGAACCGAAGGGTAGGTTGGGCACCCCAAAATTGCCTAACAGTATGTTTATGCTATGATGTTATGTGGTAGTAGTAGGAGGTGAAATAGTCTCGGATGTCGGTCGTAAGGACCGATGGGTAAGTCAAGCACCCCAGAATGGCTTGACCTGGGTAGTCAGGCACCCCATAATTGCCTGGCAGTATATGTGTGTTATATTATTACGTGGTAGTGGTAGGGGTGAAATAGTCCTCGATAGTCGGGCGAAATAGACCGACAGGTAAGTCAAGCACCCCAGAATGGCTTGACCTAGGTAGTCAGGCACCCCAGAATTGCCTGACAGTATGTTATTGTATGGTGTGTGGTATGATGGGGAGGAACTCACTAACCTTTGTGCTTATGGTTTACAGTTTTGGTTTCAGCTACTCGTTTTCAAAGGAAAGGAGTCGGCTTGATCGCATCGATCACACCACTGTTTTCCGCACATGAGATCTTGGGATTACACTCTGATATTGTTTTATGATAACATGTTTTCATTATTCCTACTTTGGTTTTGACATGACATGATATTATGGATTTTTTCTTATACTGTTGGGTTTATAATAACTTAATTAAAACGAAATTTTGGCATTGAATTTTGGGATGTTACAATGTAACTACGTTTTTATTGTGGATAATGAACTAAATATAAGTAAATTTCTATTATGGGTAAAAGTTTTAAGTAAAATGTAATTACAGACATTAGATAAAGTAATTTGATGATATATTTAAATAAATGTATGCTGATGTCATGAACGAATAAATATATAAGGTACATGCCACTCTTGCAAGAAATAGAATATATAATGCCATGACGTATATAATTCAGATTTAGAATCAATGAATTATGATTAATCAAACTAGAAAGTTAATCTTGATGGAATTTGTTCATAAATGCAATAATGATGAGAAAACGCACTAAAAATTAAATATGATTACGCTGAATGTGTCATATATGTTCAAGACCAGCTATCACACAAGTATTCTTATATGATCATTTCTCCCTTAAAATTCCATATAATCAAATAGACATGGTTAAGTTATCAACATTAAATTTTCCAGTCGTTAACACTCGACACACAAGAATAATGCTAGAGCTATTTATGCTTTATATGTGTATATTAGTAAACTCATCTGAATTCAAAATGAATATTGTTATATGATGGATTCCACTTTTAGTTTTGCAAAAAGATCCACTAACTAATTATACTTGTTACGTATACGTAGAGTGGGCACTGAGTAAGGTTTGTTTGACGTACATGAGTTTCAGTGTTTTTTAAACATTTGGGATAGGAAATCTTGGAATGAAATTAAATGTACAGTGTCGAATTTAGTTGGTGTTCTAAATAGATGTAATTCATACGGATCAAATATATCAGCCTCCAATCAAAAACAAACTAAAGATCCGGAAGATAAACAGTCAGCCCCCAACTTTCTAAATATTCTTACTTTCTAATTTAAGAAAACTTACAATGGCTGCTTCCACCATGGCTCTCTCCTCTCCTTTCGCAGGCCAAGCAGTCAAAACAACTCCCTCAAGTTCTGAGCTTTTCGGAAATGGACGGGTTTCCATGAGGAAAACTGCAGCTGCCAAGAAGGTTGCGCCATCAGGAAGTCCATGGTACGGCCCTGACCGTGTCAAGTACCTAGGCCCATTCTCCGGCGAGGCTCCATCATACCTGACCGGTGAATTCCCAGGTGACTACGGCTGGGACACCGCCGGACTTTCTGCTGATCCATAGACATTTTCCAAGAACCGTGAGCTTGAGGTCACCCACTGCAGATGGGCAATGCTTGGAGCTCTTGGCTGCGTCTTCCCTGAGCTTTTGGCCCGTAATGGTGTGAAGTTCGGTGAGGCTGTATGGTTCAAGGCTGGATCCCAGATCTTCAGTGAAGGTGGGCTTGATTACTTGGGAAACCCTAGTTTGGTCCATGCTCAGAGTATCTTGGCTATCTGGGCCACCCAAGTCATCTTGATGGGTGCGGTTGAGGGCTACAGAATTGCCGGTGGACCATTGGGTGAGGTTGTTGACCCACTTTACCCTGGTGGTAGCTTCGACCCATTGGGCCTTGCAGATGATCCAGAGGCTTTTGCTGAGTTGAAGGTGAAGGAGATCAAGAATGGAAGACTGGCTATGTTCTCCATGTTTGGGTTCTTTGTTCAAGCCATTGTGACAGGAAAGGGGCCGTTGGAGAACTTGGCTGACCACCTTGCTGACCCTGTTGCAAATAACGCCTGGTCTTATGCTACAAACTTTGTCCCCGGAAAATCGGTTAGATAGTCCCGATTCTACGTACTTAAATCATTTAAGTTAAAAAATTGATTAGACAGGCTTGGGCCACAACTATTTACGAAGACTCGTTTATAAGCCAAATCACATCGTTTTTAGATTTCTTGACAAACCCACTTAGGCCAAGTTTATAAGAGTTTGGCTTGCTAGGACCTGGACCGGTAAATGTTGGATCAGGCCGCTATACAATCACCTATGAGTAGATGTGTTCAAAGTATTGGACCACCGAGGCTTCTATACTATATCATTGTAGCATTTAAGGCCTTGAAGTCGTCAGATAAAACTTGTTGATATGAACGGCTGCATGTTTTCAAAAAGGAATGGTCTTCACTTCCATGCATCTTTGGCCCGGACCATTTTTTTCTTGTAAGAAATGGACATTATAACTCTATATTTTTCATTTGCTTTTGTAAAATCATTTAAAATGGATTAAAAGGGCCTAAGCCATATATAATCGGTTACTGAGGCCTAACTATGGACCATTAGACATATTAATTTGCTTTACCAAGTTGGTTTTTAATGTTTGGATAGAAGTAAGGACCACTTAAATACCTACTTGACTCAGACCCGATTTTTAAAACGAGAAGTATTTAAAAGTTGTATTTTTGGGGATTTTATGGTCCTCACTTCCAACTTTTTTCAGACAAGTTTCGTTCCTCTGGCTAGGATGTTGAAGCCATTATTACGGAGCCAAAGCATGGCATCTCTACGAAATCTTTTTGCTCAATAGCTAAATAAAGAGAAAACAAACCATCCAAAGAGGAATGAAAGCTTCAAATCGTGTCCAAGCCAAGGAACTTACGCCAACTAGTCCTGATAAATGTTGATTAAGACGAGATTCTAAAGGGGCAGTTACTAGTCGTATAGTTGTAGTTCTCGCTTAAGCAACTCCTTAATAGAGAACATCCCTCGGTTTGGATTTGTCGTAAAATTTAGACTAATAAAACGATAGTTCACTCAAAGATGGCAGCAGTCGGCCTATTGTTGATTTAGTTTTCCTTGCCTCATCGCCTTCTTATCTTTGCGGGCCCCGGGGGGAGGGGTAGCTGCTAAAGGAATTGCCATAGTTTAGCTCATATGTGGAACTTGACGCTCAAGTCTTGTTTCATTTCATTCATACAACTGACTTTGCCATAACATATAACAAATACCCTACATCGAAACCTATCCTCATTGATTAGGGCGCACACCATGAAATGTGAAGCAATCTCATACTAAACAAAATAACTTTCAGTGTTAAGCCTCGCCCGAAAACAGCCTCCACTCATGCTTATTCGATTAGGTTTTCTATCGCAATCAATGATGCCCCCCTCTTCCACAAGTACCGACGGAGGCCCAATAAACTACCCGACCTGGAAAATGATGATGGAGATGTATTGCAGCCGCACACATATGTAAATTCCATCGTTAAAGTGCTCCTCCCTTTACTTTTCAAGGTGAAGCGGTTGAGGTTAGCTTACTTGAAACAGGGGCGCGTCCAGAAATCTCGAACAGTAAATGCTATACATGAAAGTGTTGATTTCTCTATAGTATTTTCACTCACCTGGAAGAGCCACTCCCTCTGTAGTGTTTGAACATAGGCTCAAACATTATTTTAATGGTCCTAGCTACACCATGCGTTTGATAAAAAATCTGGAAAGGAAAGCAGCATGGATGTCAAAAAGAGAGCACTTTTATAACACCCTGTTTCGAGTCGTTCCATAGTTCGGGTCCATGACCTGACGATCAATTATCATAAGGATTCGGGCCTTGTGGAAAGATAGGTTTAAACCTATTTGGATGTGGGTAATGTAGATTATGTGATCCAGGAGTTTGGTTTACGCTTTGGAGCCCAATGGTAAAATGGGAAAAGTAACGTTTCAGACTTCTTTTATGAATTAAGAATTTTATTTCGATGTGTTTTAAGTTAAAAGTAATTAGATAGGGTTGTATAGCTCCTCAACACATTTCCGTGGATATAAAGATAATCAAAATCAGAGTTGTAACGAAGAAGTTATGACCATTTGAAGTTAGTATGGTTTTGGGTTAGCCGCAACGCTTGGCGTACGTGGAAGTATGATGGGCGTACTAAGGTATCCCTGAGTATGACGGGCTTATGCGATCAGCGCCCAAACCCTATTTTCTTGGTTTGAGCCATATTTAAGCTCCTTAACTTCCACAAACCCATTCCATTCTCAGCCTCCACCTCTCCAACACCCTCCCTTGAAACCCTAACCCTAGTTTGAGACTTGTGAGCAAAAAGAAGGTGTTTTAAGTGTTTTGGAGTGTTCTTGGTACATCTTGGAGAAGAAGGAGCTCATTGGAGAAGTGTTGGTTGTTGGAGCTTATAGATCCAGACTTTGTTCACCTTGATCTTTCTTCTAGAGGTATAAAGCTTGAATTTTGATGATGCATTTGTTAGATCTAGCTAGTTTTTGGTGTTATGAGCTTTTGGTCACTTTAGTGCATAAACTTTAGATCTTGAAAGTTTGTGACCTTGTTATGGATAAAGTTCAACTTTATCTATCTAAACATCATATTGATTCAAATATGAAGCTTGGAGGCTTGGACTTAATGGATTATGTTGAAAAAGATGCACTTTTGGTCCGTTGGAGACTTAAAGACTAGATCTTGGTTGTTTGTATCATTCTAATGGATGAAGTTGGAAACTTTATCCATTATGGAGTTATTAGGAACCATAAAACAAATATGATATTGGACCTCCTGTCCCCACCATGCAAGAGTTAAGATGTCTTAATGGATAAATAAGTTAGGGTTTTAGCTTTTGGACCTTTTCTAATCATGGAAAGTCATAAAGGTGGAAACTTTATGACTTAAGTCGATAATTTGAGATTAGATCTGAGTTTGGACATTTTGGTCTTAAACATTAAGTCCTAAAATGAGAAATGATCACCAAGGGGGTACGTTGGGCGTACATATGTGTACGCTCGGTGTAATACATGTCTTCACGATTTCATGTTGTCGTGAGTTGTACCTTAAGCATCAACGAGCATTATGTGGGGCGTACGTGTTTGGTACGCGGGGCGTACTCGCAAGGTTCTCTTTTTGGGCCTTTTGGGCCTTGGGTCTTTTGGAAGTTGGGCCATGAGTTGTTGGGTCAGATATAAGAAGGGTAAAATGGTCTTTTACCCATGGTAATGAAAGAGAATGAATTGGACCTTGGATTATGGGGAATTATCTTAATTATTAACTAGGGATAATTTTATTGTGTTCAGTGTGAGGAACCCGATAACAGCAGCGCATGTGTTTCAGTTATCTCGACTCGAGGTGAGTCTCCTCCCAGTGTTTGGCGAGTCGAAGGCACCAATGCCGGCCCATGGATTATTGTTATTTGTATGCAAGTTATCTTTGTGACTCTTGCATGTGTTGTATGTATGTCGAGCGGGGCCCGATGCTAGGCGGGGCCTGATGAGTGTATTGGGCGGGGCCCATCGCATGTTACTGATAGATCTTTACCGGGCGGGGCCCGATGGATGTATATATGTATGGTATGTGGTATTTTTGGGGAACTCACTAAGCTTTGTGCTTATAGTTTATGTTTATGGTTTCAGGTACTTCCGGTTTGAAAGGGAAAGGTTCGTCTTGATCGCAGCGCATCTACCCATGTTTCCGCACTTTGTGACTTTGGGATTGTACTTTGATAACTATTTTTACTTTGATATGCTTTTGAATGATTATAAAAGGATAAATGGTGTTTAAGGTTGAATTGAAAATGAAAATTTTACCTTATAATTTTTGGGATGTTACAGCTTTCTTGCACTGAAAAAAAAGTACCTAAGAGAAGAGCATCTTCTCTTAGCTTTCTTCCTCAACGAAGCCAACAAAAATCTGATCCGAATAAAAAAATAGGTGTAGCGATCTTCCAGATCAAGAAAGTGGAAAGTTTCAAACATTAGGAAACTACCTTGGGAAGAGTTGGCGAGAAACATAGCATGTCACAAGAGCGAGGCGAGGTTTGGAACTCTACTGTAAGAGGGACGCCTCGCGAGCCGCGCTTTTAGAGATCGATTTTTGATGAATCCAAGGGGGTGATTTACGCTAAGGAGAGGATACCGTCTTGTAATTGCGGAGTTGTCTGCGATGAACGCTTTCCTTGTGCCAATTCCAGTTTTGAACTACCGCTGACTTGTTTCATAGTTTTCAACTGAGGGGCAACAGATCTAGAATCTATTGATCCTCTTCCAATAAACTTGCTTGCTATCCCAACATATCCGCGTAGGCGAAGCTGTGGCGACTCGTGGAGTAGACAACTGTGTCGCATTCATTATTTTCGGATAAGCATCGACGATAGTTCAACGGACTACTTTTGTGATGTCTATCACATGAAGAAGCTCCGAACCGAATTAACACTTCTCAGATCAGGCGAGGCCTCTCTAGCGGAGCTGGGCTCGGGCGCCTGGTTGGCTAATGCTTCTAGTCCCACATTCAGAGACAGACCAAGAACCTCTTACGATATTTTCGAGGGGTTAAAGGTGCATATGGGATTTTCGTACGCGACTTAATAGTTTTTCCTAATGGTGATATCGCCAGGTTTGTTTGGGCTGTAAATGCGGACGATTTAAGTAGCCTAGTCAGGGATTTTTATGACTTACAATCAAATGGAACTTATAGTTGGTTATCTTCCCCTCCGACCTGTGCTATCTATTATGCATGCAATATTATAATATTAGTAGGTCTTGGGTCTAGGAAATGCCAACAGACAAGCAAGCCGAACCACCATAAACGAGAGACAAGAAAACATCTTTGATTACGAATAAAAGGAACAATCTAAAATAGACAAAGATCTATCTAATTTCGGGATTGTGTGACTCACCAATCGACCCATCAGTGATCGAGTTGGAGAGCATATGAGATTTATCCATCGGGTTTACTGTGTGCTTTTTAAATATTTTATATATTGATTTTTTCCGTTTGTTCTTTTATAACTATTAAGGTCTTCAATTTGTAAATTTATAAGAATAAATATAAAGACAACATTTATTGTAATTTCG